CATTTACTTGCACTCATCAATTTAAAAAAACAATAAAATACTTTTTTATTACGTCAGAGATGTTGCCGTGGTTTCCTATCACGCCGAGATGTAGCACGTAAGAAGTGGGCAATTGTAAGCATCCAGGCTGGTTTTCGTATGGTTTTAGCTCGTAAGAAGTACAGGAAACTTCGCATTGAGGTTTGTGATATTTACTGCATTATATTAAATTTTGTTTTACTTATATCCAAATATCATGCAACTTCCGTAATTAAAGTAACAAGAATATCTTTTAAAACTTATCGAATGACCACCTTCATGAACAATTTACTATAAATATGAAGTTTTAAGTTCCATAAAAATTAAACAAAAGATTATTATTTTGTTTATCTCAGATAGTAAACGATTCAAAAGGATATCATGTATTTTCAATATCTTTTTTTTTTCAGCATCGCAGACGTATGGAGGCTGAGAGAATCCGTAAAGAAGAGGAGGCTCGACTGAAGAAGGCACTTGGGGTCAAAAAAGCAAAAGTAGAAGCAGAAAGAATTATGCAGGTGTGGTACATTTTTATTCAAGACGTGATCTTATTTGTACTGGTGCCGGATTCGGCTGATAGATCGCCTTGGCGATCACATAGAGGATTTGATTTTTTTTTTAGAAAAGTGTGGACTTTAAGATCGCCTGGGCGATGTTATTACAAAGCCCATCTTGTCTGGAAAATTAACCCTGTGCTTATAAAATTGGATAAAAAACAATGGCGACGATCAGACCACCCATAATGTTTTATTCTTTGTCTGTATCGCAAGAAATGGACGAACTAAAATGTCTCCTGTGTTTGAAGTGCAACATGATTATTAAAAAAACAGAGTTAAGCGGTCATCTATAAAAATAATCTTGCACACATACTCTTGTATTGAGATGTTTTTTGTCAAAAAAAAGACGTTGCCTTTCAGTTAACTCTTCGTGTCCTTGGTATTTGTGACACTGAAGATTTTTTTAACAAATGATAAGTAACTATATCGATTTGCATCAAGCTAGGTAGCCCGAATTTAAATATCAGTGCGTGAACTCTTGAGGTCATTGCCCATTACCGCACGTAGTTCAAAAATGTGGTTATTAGACTTGAATATTGGTGACATGAATAATGCGTTCAAAGTGCGCTACCCATGGGGAGGGGGGGTATCGGTCGAATCCGGTATTTACTTTTCGCCCATAAGGGAACATTGGGTTTCATTCTAAAGTTGATCTTTCAGTTGAAAAAAAAAATTGAACTTAAGAACTATCCCTCAGTTGGTGTGCATTATGACATTAACTGACCTATTTTTTACTCATTTTTTAATTATAGCAAAAAATTCTGGAAATGAAACGGGAAGAGGCTGATGTAGAGGCACGAGAGAAACAGGAAAGACAAGCTAAAGTGGCCGCCATTGCTGCGATTGAAGAAAGGCGCGATAAAGTGGTTGACGACTCACAAGTTGTAGAGGAAGTCTTTGGATTCCTACCAGATCAAGGACTTCAAGATGGGCCGGGACCTAGAGGTTTTGAAGTGAGTTGTTTTGTTTTCGATTAGACATAAAAATTACCATTTTTCTGTGGGTTGTGAATTTCATTAAGATGACTTCAGACAAATTACCTATATGTGTAAGGGTATCTCAGTTTGTCTTTATTTGGATAAAATTAATGAACTCTGTGACGAGTAGATAACTGCCAAAAATTAGACCCCAATAATTTGTGCAGACAAATTGTCGGTGCTTCCATATGTAGTAACTTTGATTTGGAATAAATACTTCTGAAATGTGACAATACAGATTGTCATCATGGGAATATATATCATGAATGCCAAGGAAGCTAAACTAGTTTTAACAAAAGCCTAGTAATTTATGGTCAGTTTACATGTGTAATTCCTTAATAAAGGGCCAAACAGTAATAATAATAATAATCTTCTTCAAGGATTTTGAGGTTTCTCGTGCCGAGGCTATCAGGAGGGGACTTGATGATCCAACCATGAGACTGCCTGTACCGGCCGCCGAAGAAGACATCTCTGATTATAAATTTGCAAAGTTTGCTGCCACATACTTTCAAGGAAATGCAACTGCATCCTATATCAGGCGCCCGCTGAAGCAGCCTTTGTTGGATTGGAAGACTGAACAGGATAAAATGGTAGGTAATGCAGAGCACCATCTCTGTGTACAATGGTATATTGATGCTTTGTTTGTTTGATTGATTGATCAACTGAGCTATGATGATTTTCATGTCATAATGATAATGTTGAAATCTTGTATTTTGATCTGAGGTTCTGAGCTCAGGATGTGATCTAAATAATGCCACTGAACCCATACCGTAAATAATCTTGCTCTTTACCCCCACTCCCAAGGCTATACAATTTAAGTACATTTGAAAAGTAGAAAAATATTCCTTGAATTGATTTCAATCACCTAATCTAAAAATCTTTTTTTTTTATCTGTATATCTCCAGGCCTCCCTTGCTGTTTGGATTATGATTTTAAGATTCATGGGAGATCTCCCTGAACCTAAGTACCTCACAAACATGGGTGAGAGGGTAAGTAAACATTTCTTTACTTTTTCAATTTGACAACAAATAGTATATATCGTTTTGTCTCAATCACATACAACATTTCCATGATGCTTGCGAGGGGAAAATTCAAAAGTCAATGCGATGTGACGCTCCTATTTTAAATTGACGTTGATAAAATATTTACTGCTGCAATTTTTTTATTTTATTAAAATTCTGGAAAATTTGTTTGGTATCGTAATTTTTGTCAGTAACTATAATCATTAATGCTT